GCAGAGTCAGACCGTTTGCAAACTTAACGTTGAAGTGCTCTCCCTTCATGTTGCTCCTTGAGAGTCGTTTTCGTGTGGACGTAGGACGATTGCTACGAAGGATTAAACCAAACGCTATAAAAGCTGAGGAGTTTGCAGGTCGATTCAATATTACGTGATCGCTTTATAATGGTAACACCCCCAATTGCTCCTGTAGTATACTCATCCACTGAGAAAACTGATTTTACATTGTGCTTCAGTAACTATTGGAGGAGAGTTGGCAGAGAGTAGAAAGGAAGTAGGAAAAAAGCAACCGTCAATGAAACCAGGGTCTAGATGTATCATTCTAGCTTTATGTTAGGCCTCCCCCCCCCCCTCCCTCAACCGTTGGGCGACTTCAACTCGTCTGCAGTGGCTGTCGCAGGGTAGGGGAAGGAATGGCGGAGTGGGGAGTGCGGAAGCATTTGCTAACAAGCCCAAAGTCCAAGTCGATGCTGAGATTTTATTCTCACGTATAGTGTGACGTCATTTTTGCAATGAGACCCTCTACTATGCAAGACATCCTTTTTTGTACACACACATCCCCTCCGCGAGGTGTCGACCTGACAAGTGCTATTTTGCATCGCGGAAGCTATGAAGCATGCACAGGGGTGAGGATGCCCTTGCGGCTACCGCGGTACAAACTAATAATATTTGCTTAAGAATAAAATAGAATTGCGGTGGGGTTGCAGGCATCGGTGAGATGACCTGGACAAGTATGTTCGGTTATCCGTTGAAAGGAGGACGTTTGGACAAGTCGGATAAGGATGGGGTAGGTATGCCTACTACAAAACAACAGCAGGCATTCATGGAAGCGATTAGACGTGTAACGTGGCGAAGGCGCGCTCATCGCCACTGAGCTTACCGCAACCCTGGCAAGCGCCACCTGCCGTGACGCAGCCCTCCGGAGGTTTTGGTTGAGGTTCGTTGAATGCTGGTATTGATATCGCCGTAATCTGCTCTTCATTTTAGAATGGTGTTCCATGTTAAGCGGCCGTATTTTTTTAATTTTCTGGGTGGTGCGTTATCAATGAAAGGATGATGTTCGTTGGCATGATATCGCTTCTCGGGATTGACACGTGCAAATGAGCCCTAGGTCGTTAGTTCATCCAAAGCGGAAATCAAAAGTGGTCAGAAGGATCCCGTTTCTCGGGTTTTGAGCCATTTTCTCTCCCTCTTCTCTTGACCAGCGCGCACTCTGCCACCTCTGTGTACATTCAGCCAATAAGCCACGATTGTTTTCTTAACATCCGTCTTCAAAGGAATCTTTCTCGGAAAAATCAAGATTCTATTTTCTCGATAAGAACGTGAAGAAAAAGAAGGTTGTTTTTGTTTTGTAAAAAAAATTCGAAAAACCGGACGACCTGTTACGCGAATCAGATTCCCGCCGTACTTCTTTCACAAATGCTGGCGACGGAAATACTTCCACTAGATTCTCGAAGTGTCGTCACTAGGAACTTCTTTGACCTTTTGACTTATGCACTAACACCTTACTCTTCTCGACCACATCCTATTCTATCGATCGTTCCGTAATAACTTTTTCCAAAAATCGAACAAGTTCACTAGATTCTTCCAATGCGTCGCCTAATAGGTGGCCGCCCCAAGGCACACTTCTTTCCACGCGCCGCCTATGGCTCTGTGCCACATATCTTCGACCATCCATAGTGTGGTTTTCCTGAGTTTGTTTCTCTTCGAAATTGTCTTCGCGCGCGTGAAACTTACATTTTGTTTAGCGTGCTGGGATCCCAACTGAAAAAATTTATGTAGAAAGAAGGCAAGCCTTTGTTCCGGGGAAGATAATGATTAACACGTTGACGACAACGCGCGTTTTGGCTTTTTTGGCCGCGTGGGACCAACGGCGATTTTGCGAGCGCGGACGCGCTCAGGTAATTCAAGCGGATTTTGAGTGCTAAATACATAAAACATAGGTGATACAAAATTGAACAGCAAAAACATTCAGTGAGTAAATCTTGGGAAAGTATAGTAACTGAATTTCGAAACCATCAAACTTGAATCCACACATGAAAATACAAACGATTCCAAAATTACTACAATTGACCTCAAAAGCTATTTCACTTTCACCATTTTAACAACAAAAACACTAATGTTATCATCTCTTAGGACACCTATTTACTTCTACTAGTCTTTTAACCTTTATATTCATGGAGAGAAAATGGGAACGAAAAATTAATCAGACTTAAAATTTCGTGCGGTTCGAAAATCCTCCTCCTAAATTAAAATATACGTGACCATTTCACGAGCTACTATGTTTGTAGCTAAGCTAGGGTTTCTTCCATGGAGCAAACACAATAAACTTATAAAAGAATCACGCGTGCGCTGAAAAAAGAACGTAGTGGGTGCAGGACACATACGTCCCGCGTTGTCCGTCATGGCCTGCAAAGTGCGGGACGCATGT